ACTCACTAGTTCCAGCCACTCTCAAGCGGAAGGAATGACACACAGGGACAAACACCAGGAAGCAGGGATCACCAGGGGCCATATTAGCAGCTGCTGACCACAGTCACAGTATGAAGGCCCTTGAAATTCTCAAGTGACAAAGGCTTGCTAAGTAAGAGCTTCTCTAATCACAATGGAGGTCTGACAGAAGGGGTGTGCCAAAATGAGAAGCTGAAATTGTAAAATACATGGGTAAATAGCCAACATCAGTTTCTTTCCAATTGAGTTTGGTGAATATTCTGGCTGACTAGGTGGGGTTCTTGGGTCCCAGGGTGGAAAAGCAGGGGTAAGTGGGGACTAACAGGAGAGAGAAAGGGTGGAGAAAATGATGGAAATGTCTTCAAAACCAGGAGAAGCGACAACCAGGACTGCTCCACAATCTTGCCAACGGCAAATTCAGCTTTATTACTACAATGTCACTTCAACCTTTGATGGATAAGGGGTTCATTTCTGATGTAAATTATCTAGCCCTCTTATGTCTCATCAGCTTCTTCCTGATTTTACGTACATTTTTGCCATTTCTTGTTCTTCTCATGGCCTCTGGAAAATTTAGGAAGGAAAGGAGAAGTAGTAAAATTCAAACCAAGCCATTGTTATAGTACATTTTATCTCCAGAGAGAATATCATTTTCCTCTCAATGCTTATGTACTGACCCACATAACTGGATACATTAGTAGGAAAACCCTACTTGATTGCATAATTCAGCACAATCAATTTAGGGAATGTTACAGATTTCTTTTGATCTTAAAGTCCTCAAACGTGGGACCTCAGTCAATAAATTTGTCAATAAATTGCTACCCCTCTTTTTCAACATCTGTAGAAATACTGTTTTACCTCCTGAATTGACACAAACAATCTCATCCTGCCTCCAAGAAATTACTCCGTGAGACGTGTGAAGACTGTGGTCTATTTTGGACTCCCCAAGAAAAGCTGCATTAGGATATAATCTTTTTCTTTGCCCTTCCTGGGATGGGCTAGGTGACATAGGAAGTCTTTTCTATTTCCAATTTTACAACTCCTCTCAGCAAACAGTAGGTAAACAATTTTAATACAAGGCCATTTTCATTATGTGTCTACTAGAGAACATGCCCCTGCCTTAAAATAAACAGTAGTAATACAAAAAAAAGTTTGCTCATACAGTAATAACAACCTTCCAGAATTACAGTGATTGTGCTGCCCAGCAGTAAAATACAAAATGTGGTTTTTATCCCAGAAGACACAGAATTTATTATTTTCCTCCTACCTGGCTTTTTAAAGCAAGTGGAGCCAGATTTCTGAAAGAACAATTCAGTACATTAGCTCTCAAATACAAAAAAAATACATTTTCAACATTGAAATGAGTCATTTAAAGCAGCACTTCAACAAAATGCTGTCCACCCTGCCCTGGTAATTATGTCATGTCTGGTGTGTACTAATTTACACAGTGTATTGTTTTCCTGAATAATTAAGGCTATTAAGCTGAATTCAGAGGCTGTGATACATCTACAGTCCTTAATTAATTAAACAAGCACACAGAGAAGTTACTGACAGGGTCAGAGCCTGGTCTTCATGCTCCTGGTGGGAAAGATGCTAAAGAAATGGGTGAGAAGCATTGTCACCTGGAATGTTCCTTCATTAACAATTTTGGATTCATAGAAATTTGCATAGAAGGGGTGGGAGGGACCCAATCCAAAGTCATTTCCCAGAAAGTAGACATTTTCATTCAGTCGTTCACAACCACTTGCCATTAAACCACCAAACATGACAGTGTTTAAAAACAAAAGCCCGTAATGAAATTGACCACCACTTCTCAATAGCTTCATTGAAGTAAGGGTTTTCCAATATACTTACTTTGGGCTACCTTTAGACCAGGGGTGTCCAATCTTTCAGCTTCCCTGGGTCACATTTGAAGAAGAATGGTCTTGGGCCACACATAAAACATACTAATACTAATGATAGCTAATGAGTTAAAAAAAAAAAAATCCTAATGTTTTAAGAAAGTTTACAGATTTGTGTTGAGCTACATTCAAAGCTGTCCTGGGAAGCATGTGGCCCACAGGCCACGGGTTAAACAAGCTTGCTTTAGATAGTACTATGGCTCATAAACTAGATTAAATCCGGGAAAGATGCTTTCTCCAGACTTTTTATTCTCTTTGAAGCCACCAAAAAACACCACATTCATCCAGCCTACTAGATCTAAGCATTCTGTGAGTCAGCCACTAGCAACCACTAACACATAAGAAAAAATCCCAATTGGTGTGGGTTTTAAGGTCCTAAAAAAAAATCATAACACTTCTGCTTTCTTTGGAATTTCACCCAATACCAATACAGTACTTTGCACCCAATGCACCTGTGGCCAGTTGACTGCCCCAAAGGCAAGGAAGGGATACCCAAGAGCACTGATCTTGAATATCTTTTCTTCATAGTTATAATGTGGTCTTTTTCAAGCATGTCCTCAAAAACTTTTTAAAAAATCTTTAAACACATCTTTTAACAATTCTCCATTTTTAAAGAAACTTTATGTAAATGCAAATTTCTATTACAAAACAAAGGTGTATTGAGTATTTCACGATGACTTCATTTCTGGCAAATTTTACTTCTCTCTTTCACTACTCCTAGTGATTATCTTACTGGTGCAACCTATGTTCCTGAACACAGACGCTCTGTCAGGAGGAGAGGAACCCACTGTAAAGAGAGATGCTATCAACCAAGTGCCAGTATACGGTACTATTCTGTGTATGTTCCTGCAACGTAATTAGGAGCTAAGTATAAGAAGATTCAGAACTCTTTAATGCACTTAAAATTGCTGTCATGAGGCAATGGATGGCATATTTGCATGTGAAAGGACTGTGAACAGCACGTAGGAAGAATCGTGAAATTACTATAGTATTTATTATTATAACTTGGTGTCATGCTAGTCTCATTTTAGAATGAACTATAAGAATAGATTAAATTAGTGCCATTTTCTTTCCTTGTTAACATCTTTGTCACAAGAACAAGCTGTCAGAATTTTTGTATCTAAAATAGTCCATGGATTATTCCTCATGATACTTGGCCATTTCCAAACCCTGGGTTTTGATTGGTTGCTCTCAGTCCTGTCCTTTGAGACATGTGGGTTGAACACAGGGAAATAATAATCTTTTAGGCAACTAATCAGGTTGCAGACAACCTGATAAAGGTAGGACAGACAGTATAATGTTACAATTTTAAAACATAATTTGATCAGAAAACATTGTCTCTTAAGAAAATGCTTTTGACCACTACTGAAAAATACTTTTTCATATGTGACTTCAGAATAGAGACTACTCTGAGGTACGTAATCTTATTAGTGTCTGTCTGAGTTTTTTCACTGTCATAACGAACAACGAACATTTCTCTGAGGCATCGGGAGTACCATGGTCTTGTCGACCTTGAGACAAGTTGTGATCAGAAGTCTATGATCTGTTACTTCACATGTCTGTAACTCACTGGTTCTCTGGCCTCAGTTTCTATATCTAACATGGATTCCTCTTTCCACTGTGATTTTTCCTCAGCCACAATTCTCCATAACCAGGTGACTGCTTGGTCCTGATGTGCCCAGGGCTGCCGCACTTTATGTCTGTGGTCTTAGCATAATTATTAGAAGCATCTTCTTGCACTCTCAAAGTGTGCCAGTTTAGACAATATTTGATAGTATCACTCTACCCATCATGCTTCCTCGGAGCCTCTCTGGGATGTGTCACTGTTTATAATATGGTACTAAGTTATGAGTATGTCTTAGCAGCCCTGCTAAACTATGACTTGGAAAAATTTGGTCTCACTTGTCTTTTTGGTTCTCACAGGACCTTGAACAGGGTAGGTATTCAATAAATATTTTTTAAATTTATGAAATCACAGAGTGCTTAATTGCCTCAATGCCCAAACAACAGTCATTACCTCTTTTAAAGATTCATATTAGAACTGTGGTGTCTAGAAGAAGATAGTTTTACTTTTTACTGAGATCAAACCCACTCAAAACATCATATATAGCAGGTTACAGGCTGCTGTGTAGAATTTACAAAATGGACTTTGTGTGAGGTCACCCAGCCCAGGGAGGGAGCACAGCTGAAATTCAACTAGTTTATGTGTCATGCCATGTGCTATGTGGATTAGTGGCGATCCTGCCTGATTTCCAGATACAAATCCAGACTTTAGGGGACCTAAAGCTTATACAATTGGTGTACAGAAAAGGGATTTCTTTAAGAAAAATAATTATAAGGAGAAAATTTGGAAAAGTTACTAAGATACCACAAAATCCATTATAATAACATAATATTTATATTTCATAAGGGCTTGACACACCTCTACAATACTTTTCCACCTATTTACTGCCTGAAGAATACTTTAGTGGTACTTTGGCATATGGGTGTTCAGTTTTCCTGGAACCATCTGTTGAAGAAACCATTGAATGGTCTTGTTGCTCCTGTTAGAAACCAATTACCACATATGTGAGGGTTTGTTTCTAAGTTCTCAATTCTATTTCATTTGTTTATGTCTCTCCTTATGTCATTACTACACTGTTTGACTACTGTAGCTTTGCAATAAGTTTTGAAATCAAGTGTGAGTCTTCCAACTTTCTTCTTTATCGAGACTGTTTTGGCTATTCAGGATTCCTTGGAATTTCATGTTTCATTTCAAATTTCAAATCAGGATTACAGTAGCTGGAATAATTTAAGTATATGCAGAAGTGACTTCAAGCCACATAAATGAATCCCACTGAATCGAGACAATATGCATGTCCAAATCCATTTTCCCTTAGTCGCACCCCAGAAATGTTCAAGGCCATTATGACAATACTCTACCCAACGGGAAGTGTGATGAATGGGAACTCTAAGTGGAAAGGGGCAGCAGTTTTACAAAGATATATGCCCATGTGAGCACATCTCTAGGGCCCTATGTGAGTGAGGTACCTTGAAATTTAGCTTCACTATAAATTTGTCTCTTATGGTCTTCATGTTTTACAGAAGTGGGAAACATGAAATAAAGCAGAATGAACTAGAAGAGAGACCTTATGAGGACCTGAAAACAGCCTTCAAATACCCAAGTGACATCTTATAGAAATTGAATTAAGATTTAACTGAGTGGGACAATTCTGAAGATATTGAATGTATTTGTTTCAAACTCTGAGCATGATTGATTTCATAATCTGTATCCTGGTGTCTTCACACTAAAGCAGATTTTTGAAAGGTGAGAAATAAATCCAGTCAATGGTCCAAAAACCAAAGCTCAATTGACTATAGCAACTCCACAGTCCTGGATACCGGATGTGTAGACAGAGTTTGTGGCTCCTCAGCTTGGAATATCATCAGTGAAGAAATGCCGTTTTTGCATCTGTTTATGTATTTGTCTCTCCTCACTATCCTTGAACTTATTAAGAACATGAATTTTTCACCTTTTTATCTCCAACACCTAGCTCAGAGCCTGGCAGCATACAGGAGTTCCAAATACATGTTTTCTGAGTCAATCAAGAGATGAATAAATGCTTAGAGTATCAATCCACAATTTTTATTTAGTGCTTACTATACACAAAGCATTATACAGCAAAACTTCTTGTCCCCCAAGGAATCACATTCCGTTGAAGAAAATAAGAATTATGGGAGGATGTGACACAATTCAAAAGTAATTGAATGGTTCTAAGGAAAATAATAAACAATCAGAAAATGTTGACCATCCGTTTCTGGCTAATGTACATTTGCTCAAGTTTATCTAAAGCCTACAGAGAGCAGACACTACAGGCCCCCTTTAGTTAAAGAAGAATTCTGCCATCAGTAATAACTTGTGTGTCTCCTGGTTGGCAGGTACTATGCTCTGCCCTTAGGAACACAGTAAGACTGACACCCTCCCTTCCATGTGGAACTTACAGTCCAGCTGAACTTTGAAAGATGCACGCAATCACAATCACAAGGTGACACTGAGATGTCAGCTGTGCCATTTGAACCATCTAATGTTCTTTCACTGTTAAGTTGCTGAGGTCTGTATCTCATGGAGTTTTCAGGTGGCAGCATATGCCCAGGTAAAATCTGAGATCCCATCTAGGAATGAGTTATGAATACCAGACAGTGCCACCAGCCTGTTCTACCTGGGTGCTGACCGAAGACCCAAAAGGCAGAACAACGTGGTTGAATTCTTCTCAAATTTTCTTTAATTTCACCTTTTTAAACTGTCAAATTTTGTCCTTCAAATATGAACCATATTTGGTCAATAGACATTACTTTTATGGATAAGGACAAATAAAATATTAAAAACCAAAGATCAACTGACTATATAGCAAGTCCAAACCAAGTATCAGATATACTAAGAGTAGGATTAAGAAGGATAAACAATAGAAAAATAAAGCAACATAAAACTGCAAGTTGATTATTTGGGTTAAGCAGAAAAGAGATGGTAGTGTTAAATTCCCTACAATAAATTTGATATAGTCAGTAAAATAGAATTTTAAGAACCTTAGTATTATAAATCTCAATAGTTTAAAGAGAAAATTTTAATGTGTAGCATTAATAAAAGATGTTTGTTAAGTTTAATTGAAACAAGAAGAGGAAGGTGTTATTGGAGGTTAGAACAAAAAGTGCCCTCAGTGGTAGCTCATATGGTCAAGAGGATGCATGCAGGCTTTGGCAAAAAACCTGGGTGGGAATCCTGGCTCAGCCCCTTTCTAACTGTAAGTTTCAGCATGTAATTTAACCTCTCTGTGCCTCAGTTTCCTCATCTGCATAGTGAGGAGGAAGGAAGATAATAATATCTGGACTCTATATTACTATATGTAATCTCCTCTTTCTATTTTCACATGCTCATATGGTGTTGTGAGGAGCAACTTAATTTATGCTATTTGCCTGGCACGGTACCTGGCTGGCACTTAATATAGACACTCAAGAAACTCTCAAAAGAAAATCTGTCAGATTTTACTGACATTTTCACCTGGTTCTACAAACTCAAAGTTTTACTTTTCTGAAATGAGTTTTAAAAGACCACGATTATTACCAGAAATATTGAGTGCCTATCAGTACATTATAAAGTAGGGAAGAGCATCTGAGTACCCTAGACACCAACGTTCAACATCTAATCAGATGAGGACTCCTGGACTCTTGCAATTTTCTCCATATAGTAATTTGTTATTAGGTTCATCTGGAGGCGCCATTTGTGGGACCCCCACACAACAAAATCATTAGTCAGAATTAATCACGCAAGTAAGATAAAGCACATGGCCAGCCCTGGGCAAGAGCAGCCTATTACACAATCAGAATGCATTAAAACCGTGGACACCACAATTTTTTTTAAAGCTCAGGGGTAGGGGGAAGAAGCAGACGTGTTTTAAAGATCATAGACAATACACTCTTCAAATGAACCGAACTTAATGCCTCTTGCAAGGTCAGATCAAGGGTGAAGAAATGAGAATTGACCAAACACTAGAGCAATTTCCAGCTAAATAAAAAGCCAGATATTCTTTTCTTCACTGACAACAGAAAATACACTGGGAGACGAGAAGGGTTGATCACTGATGCCAAAAATGTACTCTCCATTCTTCGAGGTTTGTAAAGTCTTCCCTTTTATCCATTTTCTATTTTTCCTCGTATTGCCATTCTCTGTTTTTGTCAATGACCTTTCTTCAATCCAACTCAGCCTCCGTCTAATGGCCTGAAGAGGACTTCTTCACTTGATGGAAAGCTTCAGATTTAAGATCCCCCTCCTTCATTAGAGGGAAAAGTGAACAGCCTCTATGTGCTGGGTGTTAATGAATGTGAAGAAAGATTTTTTTGTATGTGTTTTACACATTATGTTCTTGACTCCTAGAGGTGCTACAATAAATTGCCGCGCTTCATTTACAAGGAGCCATAACAGGAGAAAAATGAGAATCTGGCGACAAATTGCTTCTCAGTCACCCTGGGTCAGGCTGTTGGGGCTAATGAGAAGAGGGGCTCTAATTTTAAACTCCTCCTCAACCAAGCCATTCCTGCATTAATGTTCACTGTGGTGAATTGTAAAGTCAAATGAAGGAGCACTGTTGAAAATTAACCAGTATTTTTATCCTTCGAGTACTAAATAGAGCATATTTTGGCTTCTGTAGCTAGTGGTTATCAAAGGCAGCTCAGCCTACACTGGGGTGCCAGCTCCTCAGTAGAGTCCCCCCTCCCCACACAATAGCACTCTTCTAATTTCTTCTCCTCTGACACCAAAGCCTTCCTTCTACCTTCACAAAGAAAAACCAGCTGGCAGAAGGAAGTACTGTAGGTTTTCAACAAGATTAGAATTCGGCCCATAGGAGCAGTGTTTGAAACCAGCCCCTTTTGTGGGTTCACTTAGCAAGATACTGTATACAGGCATTAAAAGTCAGAGAATCCTACTATCCAGTTAGGCCTGCTGCATGCTTAATGATTCATAATTGTGTATGTGGAGGAAGAGCCAGTAAATCACTGACCCCGTGAGGGCAGGAAGCACTTTGTCACTGGAAGCCTAAAGCAGGATTTGAGCAAATAATGAGAAACCAATGTAGCACCTGCCTCTCACAAAATACTCTCCTAATTCCACATTTTGCCAGTTTATAAAAGCAAGCAGCAGGCAAAAAAAGGGGCAAGAGAAAGGAAGATGTTTTATTAAACTGGGCAGAATTTTGATCCCACATGGATGTCCAGGCAATGACTCAAATTTCAAGGTGGGATTTTTTGGGGAGTTTTGGTAATGTGTTTTAAGTATGTATGAATGAAACGAAGTTCCTCTTGTGTGTAATGTGTCTGTCCGGGTGCATTCTTCCATGGAATCACTACATAAAATACAAATTAACCACACTACCCTAGTCTAATCATTGTAATCAGTTATGTTTTCATGTGTACATTACTGATCTATAAGGCTGTTGTAGTTCTTGTGTGTGGTTTAATTGCTTGTTTTTGCATATCTTGTGTGATTGATGATGTTCTAGAAATCTTTTCCCCTAAAGGAGACTTTGTAAATTACTTTGTTTAGATGCTAATGATTGTATTTCATTAGTGGCCCTCTCATCCAGAATCATCTTTAAATGAATGAATATGCCATAATTAAAAATCTGAATTATGAATTACTTTGAAAGGAGACAACATTGTCCCGATTTCCCACTGCGACACAGTGTTATTTCAATTATGTAAATATGTTTAATCATTCCCCTTTTGTTTTTCTAATTATTTAATATTAATGTTGCTTTACCCCTTTATTGCTACAAGAAGGGATATGGCATCTTAAATGAGAGTACTTAGACAAGTGATACACAGATGACTAGATTAAAGCAGACATTTATCAGAATGCATAACCCATTTCAAAAACAAACATGCTATTAACATTCATACTAATATAGCAATACTGGCTATAATTGCACTTCATGAATGTTTTGTCTGTAGAAATCTAATGTATTCACAATGAACAATTTCCAATTATTGTTTTTTTTTTCTTATAGAAAGTCCAAAACCCCTGGTGAAAGTTTCAATTATCTTGAGGTGTACATCTGAACCATCCACAAGATCATTTTTTCTATAGTAGGAAATTTGCAGCTGCTCAAGTACTATGAAACATGACATATTTGACTTTCACCTCTCCACTTTTGAACCTTCAAAAAAATCTGCAAAAAAGGAATGTTTTAAGTCCCTCCCTACCCTACCCCACCCTTTTTCTTAACTCTCTACCTGAAGCAGGAGAAATATTAGGAAATTTACCCTCACTCTCAACAGCTCTCACAGAAGCCTTCAAGAAGCTACACTTACAAGAGAAGCATGAACTGAGCACTGGAGAGCTGCAGAGGGTCACGGTGTATGACAGTCAACTTTATACATTCACACTTCAGGCATCTTATTCTAACTAACTGCATAAGCCTGACTGGTTCCTTAGAAAACATGGCACTGACTTTAACTGAGACGTTTCTATTTTAGTGCAGCCAGACTACATGGGAGTCTATTCCTCTACCATTTAGTAATTTAGATACTTTCAATATTATTGCTAACTGACTCTTGAGGTATAAGAGCCTTAATTATGTTGGTTTAATATTTTATGCTTAAATATTGTTATTTATAAACTAACAGTGGGAAATGCTACAACTTCCCCATGTTTCTTTTTTATTTCAGTGCTATAATAAAATATGGTATCGCTGATTGAGGCTTACATTTCATTAATGATACTTGTAATTAGGATTATGATTTAAAATATTTAGTCTTTATCCACACATTACAGGAGTGAGCAATCTTTAAAGACCTCTCTTCCTAACCACCATCTTTTTCTAATTTGAACCTATAACTTTACCAACCACAAAGACAGGGACTAGGGTGTAATATCATATCTGGGTATAACTCGCACACAAACGTACAAATTACCTTGTTCATCAGGGGCTATGCCTACAAAATACTCCATGACATCACAGTATTTAGCATTCTACATAGACAAAAATAATGTGACATTTATTTGCAAGTTATTAAGAAAAATGTGTAAACTATATGCCACTAACACTTCTATTTCTGATATTTTTTTCCTCAGTGAGAGAAAAAAAAAAGATTCATCCTCAGGTAACTATTGATTTTCCCATAATTTAGATAAATCTATTAAGAAAATGTTTTATGATTAACACAATAAAGCTACTGATTGTCAAGATCAAAGAAAGAAAATTCCAAAGTTTTGTGTAAGTGATGAGAGATACAAATTCTTTTTGTCAATAACACATTGATTTTAATGACTTTTTGAATAATGATCCCTGCTGAATTTTACAGATTGGAATGAGTTTCTAATTGTTTCTAATTAGACACTAATTTAAAATTATTTTTTCCCATACATCTAACTGGAAATCCTGAAATCTCATAATACTAATATAGAGAAAATCCAAACAACCCCTTGAAATCAGTGTTTGAAAGCTGCTGAAACATTTTGCTTTTGATTAGCTCAATATTCTGTCAATGACCTTGGAATCCACAGGAGGGAAATTCACAGGAAGGGAGTGCGAGATGGAAATTCACAGAAATCTGCAGTTTAGTTTTTTAATCGTGATTCCAGTGGATTTTTAAAAAGTAGATGATTAGGATTTTGTCTAAATATTCATTATCAGGAAGAAAGATGAGGGAAATATTGGGAAAACCATGCCTATGTTATCACCTAAATTATGTGAATATTGCATTTTAAGCAAAAATGCAGCATAAAAAAGAATATGGAAAAGGTTTTCACTGGGAGCTGAGGGCTGCTGCTGCCCCAAACAGAAGACAGGATTGGAGGCCTTGAAATAGCATGAGGGTGGCAGGTCCAGGAAATCAGTCATGGCAGACAAACTGTGTCCCCTTAAAAGCATATTTTTATTTCTCAACATAGCTTTTCACTGATGAAAGCTTAGAATGCAAATGGTTTTTCCATTCAGATCTTCCTCAGACCAAACTACCCTAGTGCCTTGACTTCAGTAGCTGGATGGACATAGGCAGTTAAAAACAAAGTTGCACTAAAGCCAAGCCTGTCATTTCAGGAAGGTAAGACTAGGATATAGACTCTTACCTGATATGATCTGAATTCAAAACAAAGCCAGAGCAAGCATCCTAACCTCAGATCCCTAAAAAAAAATTTCTCCCTTAGGAGTACAAAAGCCATGAAAAATGATTTAGAAAGATCCAAGTTCAGACACCAACTCCTTCCCATTCACACTTGAAAAAGTCAGCATGAGGCAGTTATACCCTGATTAATGACCACAGATATGGGAAAGCAAGATAGAGAGAAGTCGTTTTCCTTCCCTAAGTTTTCTTTCATTTATTCAACAAATATACTGTGTATCTACAATCAGCAAAGCCCTTTTCTAGGGGCTTTGGAGGCTACATAAATGAAAATAACAATTCTAATTTCATTTACACAACTTACTCTAATGTAACATGGGCAAGTGTCAGAGATTGGTTGGTATAAATTCTTATGTACATTTGTATCTAATTACGAGGTAATTTTTCTTGTTGTCACCCTTCAACATATATTTACTTTGCTCAACACTCAATGTGTACTTTCATTCTGAATACTAATGTCCTTCTTCAATTCTGAAAGCTTATCAGTTATTATCTCTTTAGCTATTGCCTCTCCACCTTTCACTCCATTCTTTATGCCTGGGCTTCTCACTAGACATGTATTGGAGTCCCTCAAGCTATATACTACGTTTCTTAATTTTTCTTTCATATTTTTTATCCCCTTATCTGTCTTACGTTTGGGATTAGTTTTTCAACATCACTTTTCAATTCACCTTCTTTGGGTTTAGTAAAAAATGTATCCCATCTCTTGAGTTCTGTTTGTTCCAATGATTATAGTTTTTAAAGTGTTCTTGGCCTGGCACAATAGCTCACATCTGTAATCCCAACACTTTAGGAGGTCGAGGTGGGCGGATCACTTTGAGACCAGCAGTTAGAGACCAACCTGGGCAACAGGGCAAACCCCCCTTCTCTATGAGAAATACAAATAGTTAGTCAGGCGTGGTGGCACATGCCTGTAGTCAGGGCTACTCAAGAGGCTGAGGTGGGAGGACTGCTTGAGCTCAGGTTGATCAAAGCTGCAGCAAGCCATGATCCCATCACTGTACTCCAGCTTGGGGAACACAGTGAGACCTGCCTCAAAAAAAAAAAAAAAAAGTTATCAAAATAATTATATTCACCTGTTTTTATCACCACCAATTTTCTTTTAGTATTTTCCTTTGAATTATTTTAAAGCCCATCGTGCTGTTTGAGCATTTTATGGTCTATCAAACAAGTATTTTAAGAGTACCTGGGATTCATGTAAAGATATTTTTCCCTTTTTAGTTGATGTAATAATTGTGCATATTTATGGGATAGAGTGATATTTCAATACATGTATACAACATGTAATGATAAAATCAGGTAATTAGCATATCTATCACCTCAAACACATAATTTCTTTGTGTTGTGAACATTCAAAATCCTCTTACTGCCAGTGAAACCAACAGGGCTTGGAGATTTCTCCATCAGAATGTTTTTAACTACAAATTCAATTACTTCAATAGTTGTAGAACTATTGAGGCTACCTATTCATCTGAGGTGAGTTTTGGGAGTTTGTGGTTTTTAAGAGATTAATCCATTTCATCTAGTTTATGTGAGTAGAATTATTTGACATATTTCTTATTTTCCTTCTAATGTTACAGTTGATAGTAATGTCCCTTCTTTCATTCCTGGTATCAATCATTTGCATTCTCTCTGTTTTCTGGCTAGAGCTTCACAAATTGCATTGATCTTTTCAAAGAACCAATTTTTAGTTTCTTTGATTTTTCTCTATTTTTTGTTTTCAAGTTCATTGATTTCTGCTTTTGTCTTTATAATTTCCTTCATTCTTATTGATTTGAGTTTAATTTGTTCTTTCTCAAGTGTATCATGGTAGAAGCTTAAGTTCTTTAAGATCATTTTTCCCTCTAAAATATGCATATTTAGTGCTATAAATGTCCCTCTAAACACTTAACTTCATCCTACAATTTGTATTTTGATTTTCATTTACTTCAAACTATTTTCAAATTCCTTTGAGACTTTCTCTTTTGCCCATTATTTTAAGATTTGATGATTAATTGCCAAGTATTTAGAGATATTATCTTTCTGTTGTTACTTCTGGTTTAATTTTCTTGTAGCCTCGGAAGATACTTTGTACTATTTCAATGATGTTCAATTTCTCAGCCTTATTTTATGATCTATGAGATGGTCTATCTTGGTGAATGTTCCATGCACTCGAAAAGAATGTCTATTCTGCTGCTCTTGGGTAGAGTGTTTTATGACAGATCCAGTTGGTTGAACCATTCTGCAGTTCTTCTATATTCTTGCTCATGTACCATCTCTTCATTATATCTATTGCTGAGAGAGGAATGTTGAAGCTTCTAATTATAGATGTGTCTACTTGTACTTTCATCCCTGTTAGTTTTTACTTTATGTATCTTAAAGCTCTGTTATTGCATATATGTCTAGTATTTGTGTATTCTTCTTGAGTTAATCCTTTTAACAGTATGTAATAGTCCTTTTTATTTCTAGTAATTTTCTTTGCTCTAAAGTCTTCTTTATTTGACATTAACATAGCTACTCAAGCTTTCTTTATAGTAGTGTTTGCATGGTACATATTTTTCCATTCTTTTAACCTCTTATGTATCAAACTGAAGTGAGTTTCTTGTACACAGTACATAAGTTAGGTCATATTTTTAAATGTATTCTGATTATATCTGTCTTTTAATTGGTGCAATTAGATCTTTTACATTTAATGTAACTATTTACATGTTTGGGTTTAGGTTCCCATTCTTCAATTTATTTTTGTCTCCCTTTTTTTTTGGGGGGGGGGGTTCCTGTGTTTTTCCTGCCTTCTTTTGGTTATTTAAGGCTTTTTAAAATATTTCATTTTAATGTATCTATTCTTATCTTGTATGGCATTTTTAGTCATTTCACTTGAGATACACATTCAATTTTCTGCAGTTTTTTTTTTAATGAATCCATATACTACCACTTCAATTGGAACATAGAAACCCTACCACTTTGTATATTTCTTTAGCCTGTCCACTTACACTACAGTTGTCTTGAATTACAACTGCATTCATTGAGAACCTCATCCCACAAATTTCAATTTTTGCTTTTAACAGTCAAACATATTTTTAAGAACTCAGAGGATGAGAATATTCTATTATTATGTTTACCGAGATGTTTTCCATGTCTTTTTCTTTTCTTTTTTTCCTGATGTTCTACCTTTCCTTTCAGTATCCTTTCACTTTTGTTTGAAAAGCTTCCTTTAGCAATTCTTTTAGAATAGGTCTTCTGCCTATAAACTCTCTTTTTCTTCATTTGAGAAATTTTTATTTCACCATTAATCCTGAAGAGTATTTTAGCTAGAAACAATATTCTAGGTTGACGCTTCTTTTCTTTCAGTACTTTAAAAATGTTATGCCTCCTCCTCCCTGCCTCTTTGCTTTCTGATGACAAATCCAGTCATTCAAATCATCATTCCCGTACATGTAATGCATTATCTTAATCTGGCTGTTTTAAGACTTTAGCAGTCTGATTACAATGTCTCTACACATGGATTTCTTTGAGTTTATAATGTATTAGATTTGCCCAACTTCTTAATAAGTATAAACTTAAGTTTTTGTCTTTCAACAAATTTGCAAGACTTGGGGCATTATTTTTTCAAGTGTTTTTCAGCATTGTATTTTTCCCTTTCTTTATGAGACTTTGACGATAAGAAAATTCGATTTTTCTTATTGCTCCACAGGTCTCTGAAGCTCTATTAATTCTTTTTCCAGTTGTTCAAAAATCTTTTTCAGATTGAGTAATTTCTATTGATCTATCTTCAAGTTCACTGACCCTCCTTTCATCTCCATTCTGCTATTAAGTCCCTCCAGTAAGCCTTTTAATTTTTTTGATAATTGTATTTTTTAATTCTAAAATTCCCACTTTGTTTTTGTTTGTATTATCAATTTCTTTGCTGAGACTTTAACTGTTGTTGCAAGAGCATGACTATTCATTCAAAAATTTTTGAAATAACTGCTTTAGAGTCTTTGTCAGATAACTCTAATGTCTGTATACTT